TTAGCGACGAAAGCAACGAGAAAAAGGCCGGTCTTTTTTTCATCTTCTACTTTAAAGACGAAGCTTTCTTGACGAGGTTGTTAAAAAAAAAATTAAAAATTAAAAAAAAAAAAGAAAAGAAAAGAAAAAGGACAAGACTTTTAGTTTTAGTTAATCTTTATCACTCTGTATGTGACTTCATTTGCTGTGCAAAAAATTTGTCCTGCCACTGAAGGTGACTCTGATCCCTGAATTTGAATTTGTTTGAATTTCATAGTTGTTTTGTCATATCCTATGGTAACAGAAAACACCTTTGAGTGAAATTAATAATAAGGCTACTGCAGTTGAGAAGCCTCGAAAAAGAATGCAGCGGAAACGGAAGTAATATTAATAATGCAGAGTGTTAAAAGTTAAATCGCTTATGGCTTTCTATGATGTGTTCTCGAATACTTGCCGCAATCTGTACAATCAGAAAGAGACCAACTGAAATTTCTGGGACACAATGAGGAAAGAGGCTCTGGAGAATTTAACACTTACAGGGCACTGAAGTAACAAGGCAAAATCTACCTAACGTGTCTGCATAGACATACGAGTTGGTGGGTAGGGGGTAGGTAGCCAATTGTACATTTTTACGACAAAAACTGATTATTTTCAGGGCAACGAAGAAAATTTTCAAGTTAAAATCCTTTTTTACACGCCCCTGTAAAATGTCCTCCCGTACACCCCTGCGAGTATGTGTGAATCGATAACGGGACAGAGCTAAAAGAGGGATGATAATGGATCCAGTTACTTAGAGCTATAAATAGCAGGACGTTGTGGAGAGCTATCAACACCCAGCTCTTGAAAGGTTGTCTCATAAATGAAAAATGTTTTTTACTCTAATTATTTCCTGTGATATTTATCTCCCTTGCACTGACGACACTAGGTGATCGTGTATGACAATAATGGCGAGCTTTTCCAAGATGTTTTTACGAAGATGGGAGGTGAAAAGAGCGACCGACTCGATGAACGAGCAGGAGGGAATAATAATTGAATTAAATAAGTAAATAAAATAAAATAAAATAAAATACCCGCCCTTCAAATTATTTATTTATCTACTTCCCTTTTTTTTCTCTTTTTAACGACATCGGGCAAGGCATGGGTAAACAAAAAAACAATCAGGGGTCCGGCTATTAACAACTGTTCTCCGGTCCTCTCCCTTTAATAATTTATTGTCAGTTGTCAAATGTCCAAAAGACATTTCCTAACCAAGATCGAAAACACTTTGTGTCCATCAGACAATAATTACAGGACGGGACCAATTCCATGACAATATTAATGTACAAAAATGCCACTTATTAGTCAAGCAAGTGGTATTTTTTTTTACTTGTATTTCTTTCTTTCTTTTTTTAATAAACGATCGTCGAATGAAGAACACTGAACAGACAGTGATTTTTACAGTCTCAGTACCAGCATTTCGATGTCCGAATGTTGGCTTTAAAGAAGTTAATTCAAAAATACCGAATTTCAAAGAAAGAATCCTTCCTTCCAAAAGATCAATGTTTATTTAAAACTCAAATCTCCTTTTGACAGAATTCAATACATACGCAGTTAATTGTAAAATCCACGATTACTGCCCGATTGTGTTATTTTATTTTTAGTTGTAGTATTAGTAGTGGTAATTGCAATTGATATTGGAACACACATTCTTAAGGGGGTACCGTTTATATTAAGGTTGATTTTAATATTAAAAGAGCAGGTGAAAAAAATATATATACTCAAGCCAGGCGGGATCGAGTAAAAAGGGCATGCAGACCTTGGACAAATCTTTTCAGGCTCATCCCTGCTACCGTCAGTCATGCACTATTCTGAACAACACCAACATACTTACTACTACTGCCTCTTACAGCTCCACCTTCTCATCAACGGGTTTTGAGAGATATTCGTTTTTTTTTTTATTGGTATTGTAACATTGTTTTGTTTTTTCTTTGGTTTTAGCAAGATGTACTATTTTTCAAAAGTAAAACTTAAAAGCCAAAGCCACCCATTTCTTGTCTTGAGGTTCGAATTCACATAGCAGCTTAAAAAATAGAAAAGAATAGACAGTTACTTGTGTAGCAGAACTGATATTGTTTGTATTTACATATAATCATTAGAGATTGATCACTGGATTAGAGAACCCATATTTTTCTTTTTGCAAGGCAAGACGTACGTACCAGATGAGCCGCTGACTCACACCCACAGTGCTACAAACCGTAAATAACATAACGTTTGCTAATACAATATTTAAATAATTATAACATGAAATACTTGGTGAAGGTGTATATATTTCTAGATGCTTTACTAGGGTGGGGAGATTAAAATGTGTTTTTATTGAGTAATATTTTTTTTTTGCTACATGTTTACTAGACGAGCCACGGACGTGGACCTTCTTATTACTGCTGCTGCTACTGCGGAGCGTACATTCATTTCTCCTACTACCAGAGCTCGTGTTCCTTTCCTCCTACCATAGTTGTTTTGTCTACTCCTACTCAAGCCCTTACTGCCGCTATTCCTACTGTTGCCTCAACTGCTGATTCTATTACAACTAGTTGCTGTGGCGTGTGGTAGAAATCGTGTTTCTTCATCTTTTCATTCCTCTCTTTCTCTGGCCCAAGTAAATTATCATAAATCTTTCTAGTTTCCATGGAGATGGTGAGCAGCTAGGCCTACTGGTTTCTTTTTTTATATGCCTTTTTCAAAAACTGGCTTATTCTTGTTCTTATAAATTGGATATATATATAACAAAACAATGGAGGATGGTATACCAGTCAGGTATGTATTTAAACTACTACTATATTTTCCTTTTTACACAGCATCGTTAAGATTACAATACATCAATTCCTCTTTGTTTTTTTCTTTCTTTCTTCCTTCTTATTTTTTCTTCTTCTTCTTCTCCCTCCTTTTTTGTTACCTTCACCTTTTCTGTCATTCCCCTTTCTCTTCCCATTGACTTCTACTCTCTCTTCTTTTTTTTACAGCACATCAGCTTTATAGTGTGTGCTCTTTTCTTCATCTTTTAAATTAAAAAAAATACCTCATCATCTCGTTACTTTCTCATATGAAGACCGTTTTCAATTAAAATATACAGAAACCTAGTTTTTTTTCTTTGGTTATTTTAATCGCTAAAAAATGGACATTTGTTTTAAAAAACAATGTGGAAAGGAACATTGTATGTTGATTTTTTTTATCTTATTTTTCAGTTAAACGTTATTACAAGAAACCCAACTGGTAATAAATAAGCGAGCAAAATCGTAAATTCAGCTCTCCTTATATATATATATATATATATATATATATATAAGCCTCACGCTTGCGTGAATTCTTTAGCCGAAGTGAAAAGGATTATAGTATTTTCTTTCATCTAATTCTAATTCATTTTATTTGTCAAAAACTAGACTTCATTCACAGTCGGGCCAGTCGTCCTTTCACGCTTCTTAATTCATGTGGGCCAGGACTGACCTCGTGATACACGTGTATGTAAAATGCATTTGTAGATTTTTTCCCCCTCCCACACATATACATACATATATACATACACATCGAGGGATATTTAGTATTTTTACACATACTCAAAAATACGCGTGTGTCTGTAAAAACCACAATGTGTCTGGGTCAGCCCCCCACTCTCTCTTTCATTTAAGATAAGATATTTAAATTCATACACACACCCATAACATTGGATTGATTTTATTTTTAAATGGCATATTTGAACACGTATATGTGTTTGTTTATATTTATATGCTGTTTTCCCATTAATATACACAAATTTGACTTTCATACCGTATTTCAAATAAAAGGTATCCATGTGCTTCTTTTTCTTGTGTATTGGAATGCGTTAACTTAAAGACATTATTATTAATTTTTAAAGATTTGTTAGGTTTTGCATATTTTGAAATTTGAATACATTTTTTTTTGAGGTATTTGAAAGAGATGTAACTTGTTTTTTGTAAATATATATAATTATTATCTTAAACTCACAAAGTGAAAAAAAAAAAAAAAGGCATTTAATTCACACATCTGGTGGGTCTCTCTTCTTAGTCTTCTTATCTATCTCTTAATTTGTTTAAGCCTGGGGTCATTGTCTGCTGTTTTGGCGATTTCCTTGTGATGGAATGGTCAGTAAAAGAACTTGACATGGTAAAAAACAAACAAACAAAAAACACACATATTTAAGAACAGTGCTTACCAAACTTTCGTCCTCACGTGGGCTTTCCATGTACCAAACTGCCTTTACGTATTAAAATTTTAAAACTAAGGCTTACCTACAGTGATTTATTTAATTTTCCCTTTTCTTAATCTTAAGTAAAAATGTATTTATTAATTTAATTTATTTACTTACTTGTGTTGTACGGTTCCTATGTGTTTACGTGCACACTTGAAAATTAAAAATTAAAAAATGCATTTCGTGACAAACGTCTTCTCTTCTTTCCAGTTTAGTATTTCTCTCTATCGCAACAATTATTATTATTAAGTTTTTAGCACAAGGCAAAGCCAATTAGGAATAAAAAAAAAGAATGAAGATTGTATTGCCCAAACCTTGAAATCCAGTCTTAGCTGGGCTCGAACACCGACCTCTCTCTTTAAAGCTGTTTCATACTCTGGATGTTTCTGTTGTGAATAATGATAGTGAATTTTACACTGCTTTTTAAGACAAGATTAAGGATTTTTTTTCATCATATGTGTGTGTTGGTTTTGTTAGGTGTGGGATTTTTTTGTGTTTTTGTCATTGTACTCATTCTCTCTTTGTCTTAAGGAGAATGATAGAAAAGGAAATAGACTAAGAAGAAAAAGAAGTGTGTGTGTGTGTGTGTGGGAGAGATATGTGGATGGGGGAGCAATAATTCCTTCTTCCGTTATTTGGCCAATTCCACAGAGTTTTCCACCTTTCCTTTCTCTCATGTTTGGACATCTTTTGATAGAAAACAAACTAAGTGTTCGTTTGTGTGAAAATATGGTAGAAAATAAAAAGATCTTAAAAACAAGGGATGGATATCATAAAAATGTGTTCTGTAGGCCTATCTATCTATCTATCTATCTATCTATCTGGCCTTCATAATATAAAAAAATTAAGCCTGTTCATTTTTTTTTATCTCTTTGTTTAGTGTCTATTATGACAAATTTTGGTGATTGAATGAAGGAAGACAATATTCAGAATTTTGTCTGCAATTTTGGTGAGTTCTTGAGGCATAGAAAAAAAAATGAACAGGCTTAAATAAATGTTTTATATTATGAAAAGCATCACTACAGTAAAAGAAAGCTTGATTTAGAGAAAATTTATTTAGAAACAGTGCTTAAGAAAATCTCTCCCTTCTCTGTTGGCCTTGTACCAAACTAATTTTGCGCATTGAAGTTTTTAAAAGCTTACCCATTTCCTTTACTCATTTACAAATATTTAAAAAATTTTGTAATTATTTTGGCTAACGGCTAATATTCCAAACCCATATGTGAGTAAGCTATTAGGGGTGGGCATTCTCCATGAGGGTGTGTACCCAAAAATTACAACGTTGTGAGTTTGTACTTTGTACTTGTTATGAATTTGAAATATTGGGTAAGTTCGAGCTAATTTTATATTTTTTTAAATATTTATTTATTGAGGAATGTTTGCCATTTATAATACTTTTTGTTTATTATTAAACAAGCATAGAAAACAGGTTAAATGGGTTTCGTTCCCAACTTAAAAAAAAAAAGATGTTATTCTTGTTAAAAACATATGGTTTGTGGTGCATATTTCAGAACCTGGGTGGGTATGTTCCCAAACACCGTTATAAAAAAAAAAAAAAGTAAACTCTTTCTAGGTAGAAAAAGAGGAGGAAAGTCACGTTCCTATCATAATTTGTCAATAATTGCTGACCACGTTTATATTTAATTTAATTTATCGATATTTTCCTAATTGTGGATTTGGCTTTCTGGTAAACCCCCAACGTGTTTGTCACTTGTCTATATCGTGAGAAGCTTTCTTCACGAACTCACGTCTTGTTGTTTGCGCAAATTGTATAACAAACAGTAAAACACTTAAAAGACAATATTTTTAAAAACAGTGAAAAACCTGCTTTTAAATTACTTGTCTTTTTTTCTTTCTTTTTTTTTTTTACAACTAAATATAGGCTTTTTATATTAAAAATAGGACATTTAAATTACTGCAATACGTTTTTTTTTCAAATGAATGACAGATCCTTGTGTTCCTACAAAAATAAATTTAAAAAGCTAAGGAAACTCTCTACTTTTTAGGCATTTCACTTCATCTGTCGTTCTATGTCTTCTTGACCTAACTTTTCTTTTTTCGCTTATAGAATATTATAAGAAGTAGTCTTACCCACAAAGTAGACACACCTTGCAAGAATCTGTATATTTACATGTAAATACATACACTTACAAAGACAAATATACACAGTACACAAAATTGTGTACTGTACAATATTGTAGTAAAAAGTTGTATGGTGGAGACGTCTTTGGTCACTGATGTGCTCTTTCTCAAGGTACATTTTTATAACGGTTAAAAACTCATGCCTCTAATAAACACTTGCCTTATTAATGTAGAAATATTAACTAAACATTTTTTAGATGTTTTGTAGACTCAACAACAAGAATATTTCGTTATTTTTTTTAAACTATTTTTTCTTCGTTTAATTTTGTAACTGAAAAAAGCAATTGTGGAGCAACAGGATTTCCTATTGTACTTCAACCGATTCGCCCAGGCTAGCTTAAATAAATCTAGCTTTTAAGAACATATTTTGGGGGTGAGGTGTGTGCATTCCACGAGGTTTGATCTCAAGCCAGTGAATGACTTCTGGGAATCTCTCATTAACTATATTACGCCATGGCTGACAGCTGTTCTGTTCGGATTACTACATATTTCTAAAGGAGATCATCATACAGTAACAGTGTTGTACACTATTCTTCTTCTTATGATGTTGTTTCAGTTAAAAAATGTACTCAGTGTTACTGTTGTTGATGAATGGTGGGTAACGTTGCTACCACTAGACAAGATAATTTCTTTTTATTCGAACCTTACGAATTGGAATAACCCTTAGGGGTTTCTCCAATTTACAAGGTTGGAATTAGTGGAGGCACCTTAAGGAGCGGTTCTTAAGATACCTCTTCTAATTTGTGATACCTAATGTTTAAAATGAATTTTAAAAATTAAAAAAAATTTTCTGGAAGCTTTCATTTTGGTTTTAATTGAAAGCTAAAGGACACATGACATAGTGGATAAAGGCATTGGTTAGATCCAGTGACAGGACCCAAAGAGTTGTGAGTTCAATACCTGGTTAAGGCAGTGGAAAACTTGGAGAGGTGAGTTAACAGGAAATAACTGACACCGATTTTGATAATATTAGTGGTAAATATACACATACATATGCAAAATATATAAAATATATATATATATATAGGTGCATACACATACATGTATATTTTTTGATAAAAAAATTCAAGGATAGAATCCAGGTAGAACTCAATGTTCAGGACAGAATAAGGATATAATAAAAGGCTTAAGCACTAATATTCCATGGTCATGACCATGGAATATTAGTGTTTAAGCCTTTTTATTATATATATATAGTATTGACATAGGCATCGATACTGCATGGGTATTGGCAGTTTCAGAATTCATTATGATCTTCAGACCAATTGCCACTACTATTGTGTTTTTGTGCGTGCGTGTGTGTGTGTGTGTGTCTCTCTCTGTCTCTCTTTCTCTCTCTCTCTCTCTCTCTCTATATATATATATATATATATATATATATGTATATATATATATAGAGAGAGAGAATTTCTATAATCTGTAAACTATAAACTAGTGTGTACATGTGTTTGAGTAGATATCCTGTTTTTTGTAAAAAGAGGAATTAATATCTATGGGCCTTGAAATATAAAGATTAAAATTGGATTTCACAGTTTAAGAAACAGGAATGTCTACTCAAACATGTGTGTCTGCGGTAACATTTAATTGCAAGAAATAATATCATCTTGTGTGTGCACCATATCAGTCTCTATTTAAGATCACCATCGAGTGTACATATATACATATATATGGGTGCATGGCCAAGTGGTTAGAATGCTGACTTTCTGAGATCTGAGTTTGAATCTCACCATGGCCAGAAAGGTGACGTTTTGAAGTTATTTGTCTGGTGAGGCGATCCCAGCATGCAGCACATTTGGAAGGTGCCTGAAAAGCATACCACGAGAGGACCATGTCTTGTGAGAGAAATTGGGTAGACAGATATATTCGCAGGTCATAAATGGATGTGGTAACATGAAATCAAAAGTCATCATGACCGAGGGTTTGCGTGTACTGCGTGCTTTCAAAATACTCATCATGACGGATTTTATGCTCTCTCCCAGAAGCTGTAACTAAGGTCTGCTCAGCATAGTTGAAATATAAACCACAGATTGGCTCTGTGGGTGTTGAACAAATACAAATGTGCACCAGAGCAGGCGTCTGCATCAGGGATTGGCTATCCACCCTAGCAGGCAGATGTGCTTGTAAAACAAGAGTAGCTGGCTATTATATACATACAGAGTGATTGAGATGTAACTCTCCATTTTAAAATACTTAATTAAAATATTTATTAACTATAATTTTTACAAGATATGGATAATTAATTTTTAACATTAGGTTTTATTTAAAATTCATATGGGCATTATTAAAATTTTAAATTATTAAAATTCTCATATGCCCAAAATATTTTATGACTGAAATCAAAAACTTTTGTGTTATGGAAAACATAACTTTTGTATTCACCTTTCAAGTTCTTCAAAGTCTTATGATTTTGTAAAGAAATGTCTTCCTTTAATCAATGCCAAAGAAAAAAAATCAATTATTCCTGGATATTTCATTATAAATTAAAATCCACTGAAATACTCAATCAATCACCCTGTACATATTTGTATATATTTACCCTTTTATTTAGTTAATAAAGTCTGTACTAAGCTATAAAATGAAATAACATATAACAGATTATGTTTCCAAGTTGTCTTATTTACTTATATAAATTTACTAAAACTTAGCTTAGTCTGGCATAGGGCTACAAGTGTTAAGCACCCAGTGAGAATCAAGCTTACTATAGTATAATGTTCCCTCTGCACACATTGGTATTTATTTAGCTTACCTTAGTCTGAAACAAGGTCATATGTATGGGGTTTTTTAGTGAGGGTCAAATGCACTACAGTCACCAACTGGTTTGCATACAGATTGGTATTTAGTTAGCTTAGTTTAATCTGAAGCCCAGCCAAAAATATGAGGCACCTGGTGAGAATCAAACAACTAAATTTTTTGCTCCATGGTTGGGCACTAACTACACATAAATAGGTTTTACTAATCTTACTCCAGTCTGAAACAAGATCTCATGTAAGGGACACCCAGTGAGTATCAAACTCATTATAGTTGCTAACTTTTACTCTATGTTAAGGCACCCAGTGAGGATCAAACTTACTGTATTTCGTTGCTTATGTGATGCTCTGATACATTAGACATGTCTCAAAAAATTTGGAAGGAAGAAATCATGAGAATGGTTTTTTTTCCTTGTACTTCATAGCCTTCCCCACTATCCTCTATTTTACCACCTGAGTTGGACAAATTCATCGCAGACTGAGAAGTACCAAATTTATAGTAACTACTTAGAATGTGATAATTAAATTTCAAGTTAATAATATATTTTTTTTTTATTCTTTTTTTAAAATATGCAGGGTTGTTTTTTGAGATGTTTTATAGGGAAAAAAATGTTTCTTATAAGCAGAAAAATACGGTATGACAATTGTTAACTTATGCTTCTGAGCAGAACTCTATTCTCTAAGACATTCTTACTAACCACAGCATTATAGTAGTCTCTTATAATGTTACTAAATATTAATAATTTTTTTAATTTTAAAAAGTATATTAAAAGTAAATTTGAATTTTGCCCCCTGTAGATGTTTTAATCTTTGTTATTGCACTGTGATAAATTTTTACTAAATATTTTTTTTGATTTTTTTTGATGGTAAAGATCAAAACTTAGTGGCATTGTTATTTAGGTCATTCTAATTAATTTCATCATTATCACTGTTTTCTTCAATTACTGATTTCCATTAGTTCTTCTTGTTTCCTCCATGATGTGTC